ATTTGTTTGAAGATGGATTATACTCAGTCATACACTCTGGTTCGAGATGGGGGGGATTTTTCCTTTTCCAGCCATTTCTTCTGGCAAATTACAAAACTATTAAAGCTATAGCTGAGTGTGTGAATAACAAATGCTGCTAAAGAGAACTGTATAAGCTTCTGAAATATAAATATCATTATGGAGAAGATGCTGAGAAGTATTTGATGCCCTTGGATGAGTTTCTTAAAATACAATCGCTTAGTGCAACAAAATGGGTGTTCTGTCAAGTTCACCTGAACAAAATATAATGAAAATATGTTTAACAAACTATCTTTTTAGGCCCCTTGACCAGACACAAATAGACTGTAACTGATAATCCCACTTTCAGTAAGTAGCTGGAAAAAAAGCTATTTTTTTTGTTGAGTCAGTTGATCTTACTTTCTGAAGCTTATAAACTGCAGCATATGAAGTCACTGTTAGCAAAATGCCAAAAAAAAGAGACATATTTGTGGTGTCAAAACTTTGTATTCTGCTCTGCTGCCATACCAGTGGAAATACCGCTACTCAGCTTCTCTCTCTTTTCCTTTTTTCCATGGAAAGCTGGATTTGGGAAAAGCCTTGCCTCTCTCCTCCTCCTGCAGCCTTCACATCCGGGTCAGTTGGGTTTGTTGGAGCTGGATGCTGCCTTCAGGTGTTCCTCGTAAACTTGTAGACTAAAAGTTTAGAAGTTGTAAACACAACTCCTTGATGAATTTTGAAAACATTTGGCACTTTACGATTGTTCTGTGTTAGTTCATTTCTAAAAAGTAACGAGGTTTGTTGCATTGAAAGTTGTAAACAATAATGTAAGAATGTCCTGGTTGTTTAAAAAAAAATCTTTTTAAAGTGGTAGAACTACAAAAACAAACTTGTAGAAGTAATTCCTCACATATAGTTGAGTTAGTGTGTTTTTCAACAAAGTTATTTTCATTAAAAAAAACACAAATTTGTTGATAAATTATTAACATATAATTGGGCCAAAAAGTGTGTAGGTCAATTAGCCTATATATTTTTTGATCAACAACATAAACATGAATTATTTAACCATTGTTAGTTGTTAATTGGCTTTCAGATTTGTTCACTAACCAGTCAGATTAATAATTAAACTCAATGTAGGCCTATCGCATTCATTCTCCTAATTTCTGTTTTACTCCTTCACTAGGTCGCTTTTGAACAGCGAACCTGTCAATACCGATCTTTGAGATATCGCTTGAAGGCATCACAAGTTGAGCAGCTCCCAGTTAATGCAAAGGCGGACTGATGATCCAGCTGCTGCGCGCTGACATGGATACAAGTGGCGTTTACTGCTGAAACTGGACACATTACAGTGTGGCGCTGACACTGGGGGACAAAGAACGGAAAAACTTCTTCCACGACCGCACTCATGTGATTTTCCCTTGTTTGAGCCATGTCCAAGACCCTGAAGAAGAGGAAGAACCACTGGACTAACAAAGTCCATGAGAGTGTCCTTTGCAGGAATGAGGAGGGGGAGCTGGGGCTGGAGTTGAAGGGCGGCGCAGAGAATGGACAGTTCCCGGTTATCGGCGAGCTTCTCCCGGGCACAGCGGTGTGCCACAGCGGCAAACTGTGGACGGATGAACTCCTCCTGGAAGTCAATGATACCCCGGTGGCTGGACTCACCACCAGGGACGTCCATGCTGTGGTCAAACACAGCAAAGACCCCGTCCGACTCAAGTGTGTCAAACAAGGTAAGTGTTTTCAAGCTCTCACGACAACTTTTCCCGCATTTCGTAGTTTTCTTGTTCGGACATTTTTGGAAACCGTTAGCTTTTTGACACGCTGGTGTTTTGACAGCAGTGCTTTTGTCTTCTGAAACTGATAGCCTCTCGATGCTATTAGCAAACATTGTCACGAAATTGAACTTTTTGCAGTGTTTTATTGTTGTTTCAAGTCTTATGTACACATTTTATTCACATTAGTTGTTGTAAAAATGTGTTTTAGACGTGTTTTGGTTGTGTTTGCAGGGTGGCGTACTGTAGCTTGTAAGGGGGTGTGTTACATTTAGGGCCGTCAGAAAATACACACTCACGTTTTGCACTAAATTCAAGTGCAAAAGTGTAGTTTAATGTTGTACATAACAACAACAACAAACTTATAATGCCATATTGATGCTGTACTGTAATATTTCTAAATGTCATGCAGCCACCGTAGGTCAAGATTACTGAATATCAAGAAGCCAGGTATAATACCAATGGCACAAACAATGGATTAGATATTGGATTATACTATATTGGATTATTCTTCATCAGCCTCTGAAAGAATCACAATATTAAAAGCAAACATGTCAAAAATCTATATAAAGTATCCCTGACAAATATTTGAGATCGATTGCTATTGATCAGTGTGTATTTAAAAACGTTGTTATGAATCAATACTGTAATCTTTTAAAGCAACCATGCAAATCATTCTCTAATATCTTTGATGTGAGCATTTGCTGATCGTCTTTGATAGTAAACTTTGAATGTGTTCATTGGGCTGAGACTGTTTATCACTCAAAAGAAGTTACAAGAAAAAAATGCTTCTTCTACATTTCCAACTTTTTTATCACACATATGCTTTTGTTGATAAGTACACATTAAGTATGCAATATTTATTATCCAATTAGTGCTACATTAAGTGGACTTGATTGGATTTGGAAGGGATATTGTATAGCAAATTTCCAAGTCCCTATTTCAACAGTTTAGTGATGTCATGAGATCTTAAGAATACCGGTGTGATGAGGTCACAGATATTGAATGCCACAGCTTTCACATCTTTTGCAGAAGATTTCTGAAGCGAGTGTTGTGGTTTTACTTTCGGCACAGGAAGACAAGATTGTCCTGTCCAACACTCCATAATTGTTTGAGACATTTTTGAATTGCAATACAAGCAGCCAGAACTCAAATGTAAATTGGCCTAACATGCACCAACTCCATCTAACGCCTGTCAACGTTGTCCACTAGTTGTGAAGGTCTTATGTCGTGGACACACTCGCCTGGCCGTGTGTTTTTGATTTATGCAGCTAATGACACTGGGTATCTTGCATTGTGAGCAGAGAGGAGGATCTGTGGGCTCATTTTAGGGTGAAAAAATCAGCAAAACCCCGTAAGAGGCTTTCGATCAAAGTCTTAGCCTGTGTGTTTGTATGTCTGCGGATGTGGGTGTGTGTTGAGTGTCACACTAGGGATTTATTCAAAAGGCAGCCAAGCCTATATCAAACTAATGTGTTACTTTTTCCATGAAATATTTATATCCTCCAGTGATTGCTGAAGTGATTGATATTCTCCCGCTGCTCTGCTCGTGTTTGCCCGATAGGTTGTTGGCGGTGTCAAGTTGTTTTTATATGGGATTATGCCCATTTGTAAACATGCCTACAAGTAAATATTATGGGGGAAAAACACCCTCGCTGTGTCCTCACAGCAAAGTGTTCAATAACAGATATGTTTCACTTCCAAGCAGAGGCACATTAACTCCTATAAACTGTTCCAGTACATTCCTTTTTGTGGAGAGACTAGACAAAGAGCACAGTACAGTTATATCACAATAACTAAGGCCTGACACTTGATACACATGTCTGCCTGCTGCTTTATCCAGCAATTAAAAACATTTGTTTAAAGCCTACTCTTATTGATCTGCATGCTCTCTAGAGAGCGACAGAGTGCTTGAAATGCTTTATAATGTTAAATAGCAGATACTGTAGATGTAGGAGCACATAACACTGCCAGCTGTTTTTACTACACCTTGGCCAATAATAATAATACAAATGTGGCCTATTGAAAGCTAATCTACCTGCAGGATTCCTGCGTTTGTATCTTCATGGTTGATTGTATTGTATGTCGCTTTGGAAAAAGCGTTATCCATATTCAAGTCTTATTGTCTCTCTTAACCTGTTAACCCCATGCCCCCGCCGGCGGGGGCAAAACACAACAATATTCACAAAACTGTGTCTCAGCGCTTCTTAACATTTAACAACCTATTAATGTGTCATACCCACTTAACGGGAAGAAAGACAATATGAACCATTTTTACCTAAAAAAAACACAACTTAACACCAAGCCTCTGAATTAGCACTAAGCGAAAGAGTGCTAACGCACTTAGCACATAACTCACGGTAGCAATATGTTATACGTCATGCAATCTGCACAAACTAGATATCATATGAAAGCTGAGATTCCACAGATTCCAATGGTATAAGTATCATCACTCTGCGACCAGAACTCACGGCAGCGAAGCCAGGAAAGACAACACACAACTTCACTTTACGGGGCCAAAACTGCAAATACGTCTTACCTTTGCTGTTTTCTGATCAAAAGTTGTGTTCAAAAGTATTAAAACGCATATAAACGCTGCTGAAGGTTAATCCAATGTCTCTGTGTCACTTTGAAATGATTACTGATAATTAGGGCTGTCAAGTTAACGCGTTAATAACGCGTTAACGCAACAAAAAATTAACGCCACTAATATTTTGAACGCGATTAACGCATGTGTATTTTTTGTCCTCGGCCGCCCCGTAGTTTCAGAGCGCATCGAGTTTAAAATACCATCTACAAGCTGATGCTGACAGCCCCGCTCCTGCCGCCCGCTTGTGGCAGACCACACTTCCACGCTCACTGGCAGGCCCGGACTGGCCATCGGGAGGACCGGGAGGGTGTGTGTATAGTGGCGCGAGCGAGGCACACCTTACGTGTTGTTGTTGTTGTTAGCATCTGGTGCTAGCTAGCTGCGCTAACGGATATAAGGAGCTGTTTCAATGACATTTTGCCGACAACTGCGCCGAGCACTTGACTTTATGCAGGTAGCCAGACAGTGGGACATTGTACGAAAAGTCAGCACACTCAGCACGGATAGTACGCGCAACATGATTGCGGCGTCCTCCAGGCAGCTCCCGTTCGAGCATATATGCCTTGAGCTGCACATAGCTCCAACGATACATCAGTGTCTCCACACACACACACACACACACACACACACACACACACACACACACACACACACACACACACACACACACACACACACACACACACACACACACACACACTTTGTATTGTATGAGAGAGGTTCCAGGTTGAATTGAGGCGAATATTTGTAATGTTCAGAGGTTGTTGTGTTTAATATTCATGAGTATATTTGTCATTGTTCAAATGATAATAAACAAACAAACATATAAAGCATATTTGTCCACTCATATGTTGATAAGAGTATTAAAAACTTGAAAAATATCCCTCTAAGGTACATTTAGAACAGATAAAAAATGTGCGATTAATCGCAATTAACTATGGACAATCATGCGATTAATCACGATTAAATATTTTAATCGACTGACAGCCCTACTGATAATCCATCATAACATTTACGGACTCACGGACTGACGGACAACTTCTCACTTCAAAAATGTTTTAAGAAATCTAGACCGCAAAATAATTAAACAAGCGAGTGCCTGTTTTTCCTGGCCAGGTTCCTTGAACACAACACGAGCGTAACGTGTCATCACGTGGTGTAGTGCTGACGGAGAGCACCGGAACGCCACTCCAGCACTTCAAATATTGCAGTACCCATAAGGAGCCGTACACATGCCGCAGTTTTTGCGTGGCTGTGTCTTTAGTTGTAAGCCCAGTTTAAAAGGGGAGTGATTTGTAAGATATCCATAAAGAAAAAGAAAAAATCTGCTTACTGGTCTGTTTCATATGGGTGTTGAGAGATGTATCCATAGATCTCTTCATTTTGCTCTCAAAGTGCACCAGGTTGATGCTTTCAACTTCAACATTTAAAAAAAAATCTTCCCGGGGGAGCATGCCCCCAGACCCCCCTAGAAGATGTGACGTGTCATTATCGAGCCTGAGACCTGAAAAACAGGCTCAGGGCTTTTAAGCTTTGTATTCATTTATCTTCTTATTCATACACTTGCAAGAAACTGTGGTTTTGAATTGAGTAAGCCTGTCTGTAAAGGAGAGACTTCTGTGTACTCTATCTATAGAATCCCTTTTCATTCAGTGTTCTTGATAAAGTCTCTTCACTCTTACTTAACATTGAGCTTGCTACAGCCTCTAAAAGACAATAAGTAACTAAAAGTAAACTAAGGCAACTACAGAAAGGAGCTACAGAAAGAGTTTACTCACAGCACACTGACAACATTTCTTTAACTAATAGTTTTTTCAGTGGAGCTTTGTCTCTACTGTGCTTGTGCTTAATGTTGCTTTCCCAATTAGTTTTCCAGACACTCGCCCAATCACGTAGATCTAGATAAATACTGGTTATTCTTAGAGCTAGTGGAGCGCATATGTGATTAAGCAGAACATGTTTATCATCCAGTAGTGGTTAAACAGTTGTCCCATTTCCAAAGACACATATTATTTAAGGATGATTACTATCCAGCAATAATAATAGCTGAGTACTCTTTTAAATTTGAATCACTTTTCTTTCATCAGGGCTTTGCTCTCAGTGAATAGCTGCTTGGCATGTCCTTTAGTGGTCTTTTTGAATAATACATCTAGTTATTCTCTTCTGAATTGGTCCGCTGCTTCATGAATGTCCCAAATGTAAAAGCTGCGTCCCTTTCTCTTGGAATATCATGCCTGAATTGCCAACTCTCATTACGATCTTGTCTGTAATTTAAAAAAAAAGCCAGTTCATGATCCACTTTCTTTCTGTTATAGTGATCATGAATCATTTGAACGAATGTAACCGCTTACTACATCCTTTTCCTCTAACTTTTCACGACGTCTGAAATCCTAGGGCTCTAGCCCATTTTACACTCTCACACATGCACACACACACACAATATTAAGTCCTTTATTAGTCTCCGGGGTGAGGATTAGATTAGATTGCCACCAGCAGCCATCTCTGCCCTGCAGGATGTAATTAGGATCTGCACAAAACACTGATGGGTATATAAGGGAACATGGGGTACAATTACATTCTCAGAGACACAGAGAATTGTCATTATAGCTAGACATTAGGGGGAATGTAAGGTGGGGTCTGTGGCTAAAGTGGCCCCTGTAGATTTGATGCCAGATAAGGTCAATGTCAGAATTTACTGATACACCTTTTTATACTTAAAATATGTGAGTGCATGATGACATTTTTTGTAACCAATTCTATCCAATGAATTTGGGCCATTATTGACCTTGTTGTTGATCCAGTTGCGATAAAGTTGGGTATTTGGTAATTGTAGATACACTAATGTGTTGGAATGTGTTCGGGTAAAAGAAAAGTAGGGATGTCCCGATCACCTTTTTTTGCTCCCGATCCGATTCCGATCATTTGATTTTGACAATCTGCCGATACCGATTTTTCCCGATCCGATCTTTATGCAATGCATTAAGAGGAAAAAAAAGGAGAAAAGCATTCAAGTTGTCCCTTAAACCCCCACGTTCTCCACCACAGATAACGGCTGGTCATCCAACGCGATGAATTCAGCTATCTTGGCTGTTATTTTTTTGGCCTTTTCACTGTTCTGGGGCAGTTTCTCTTTCCTTTTAAAAGTCTCTGAAAGTGTTGGTTGTTTCAGTGCCGTTACCTGAATGGCCGCTGTGTACTCGTTGTGTTGTTGTTGGTGTTTGTTTCTCAGGTGGCGTATTAGATTGGTCGTGTTGAACGTAGCTCTGTTCTTTCCACCACACGGAACCTCCGCCTTGCAAACATTGCATCTGGCTGTTACACTGCCTTCGCTTTCAATTTTATAATACTTCCAAACTCCTGACATTTTCTCTGTCCCGAGTCACCAGCTGAACGTAGCCTCTCGTTAGCTTACTGCTACTATTAGACACTGCGCCCACTCTGTTGCCAGATTTGAGAGAAATAAGCAACCAGGTCTATGAAAACAAGCCCAAAAGAAGCAACACATACATGATGTTGTGTAATTTTAAACCAAAACTAAGGCCTCGGGATGACTTTAAGACGTGAACATGGTCATTTTTGTTTTGTAACATTAAATAAAATAAGAAAAATATTTTATAAAAAAAAAAAAAAAAAAAATTTCGATCCCCGATTTTTTTCTCCCGATTCCGATCTTTTGAAAATCACGTGATCGGCTCCGATCCCCGATCACGTGATCGGATCGGGACATCTCTAAAGAAAAGTAAAATCCGTGGATTCCTAGTATGCTGCAATGGTTCATAGCATTGCTGTTTCTGGCTCGATCGTAATGTTATTACTATTGTAGCGGCCCCTAGTGATGTCACAGGACCAGAAATGTAGTAGTAGACAAGAATACCAGTGCAATTCAAAGAATGTGGATACCTAACTCGATAGCATGATAAAAACACACTCAAATAAAACAATAAATCCCATGTACTTCAACACACACCTTTACTGTTTGACTACTGTTTTTTGTTGACCAGGTCATAATTCTCTCTTTACAGCTGTTCACAAGATACCATTTGAACTCAATTATGGGACTGTTGGAAAAAAAACGTGATCATAATTGAGAAATTGCAGACCCTGCCCTATAGTAACCCTGTTGCGTGCTGCCATTATGTTTGTTCCTGACAAATATGCAACTCAAGAAGAAGGGATGATTGAACCCTTATCTGCTGCTTAGTGGATATGTTTTAATCCTCCAGGTACACACAAAGCATGCGGGCAATATGTGTATCATGCCAATTGCATCACAGCTGCCTGCAAAATGGTAGAAAGCAAGTGTATTACAATTGTTGCAAATCCATTCTCTCTCTGCATAGTCTAACCTTGGATAATCTGCCTGAAGAGTAAACACTGAAACGGCAGCCTTCTCTCTAATTCATAAATATTTCTAATTAGCTTTATGTCATATACACTTCTCCATTCTCTCTATCTCTCTTCTCTTTCACACACACTGAAATGCCCCAGTTCAGCTTAATTTCTAAGCGCCAGTTGAGGATTAATGCAGCCAGCTATGGAGGCTGTCACTGCATCTTTCACTGCCTCTCCAGTGAGAAGCTCTCAGTAGCTGAACTCCAGTTAGGACTGTATGATGGTTGAGCCTGCTAACAGCTGTTGGGCACAGGTGAGGGCAGACAGTTCCAGGTCAGCCAAAGGCAATCAGTGCGCTCGCCGGGGAAACACTTGGCGTTAGAGCTGTTAGGCTGCAGTAATGACTTTCCCCGAGTGCATGGAGCTAGAATGGCAGCACCTTTGTAGTTTTAAAAGGTTGTTTTGAGCTTTAAGGATGGCTCTTGGTCTGTCGGTCCTCCTCTTTGGTCCAGATTAAGATTTAATGGATAGTTTGGATGATTAAGTGAGTAGTTTGAGGTACTTCATAGCCAGCGTATTACCTACCTACCAGCCAAACTGCCCCCAGTTTAGAAAAACAGACAGAAGTACTGAGGTAAGGTGCAACCAAAATGTCAATTCCAGCGTTTAAAGTTGGACATTTTAGAATATTTTCACTGCCTTAACCTTGCTATCAGATAGCGTGTGTGTCTTTAAATGCATTTTCATGAGCTGCTTGCAAAAAACGTCTAAAATGTCCCATCCTGTCATTAGAGCTCCCTTACAGAGTATAGACAGACTTTAACTAAGGCTTGTCTTCCTCAAGTGTTTGCCTTCATCTTTAAATCTACCTATCTTCTTTCATTATCTTTCTAAATCTAATAAAGGAGCTGTGATTCCACCTCTCCATTTTGCTCATATCCCTCAGATTGTTTTTATCCAACACCTGTCTCACTTGTGTATTTGCCATCAAATGATTTCTGTGCAGTGACTCACACCATCATTTGATTTTGGCAAATAAGGTGAAGCCAGTAATGTTTTGTATAGGAGATATTCCTTTTTGCTGTGGCCCTGTTTCAGCTGAACTTTCTTTTCTTTAGTTAACCAGGTACTACTCCACATGAACCCGGCCCTTGTGTAATGAAGTTTCAGAAGCTCCAAATATGAAAGATAAAGTCCTTTGTCTGCCATCAGATAGTCTGAGGTCAGCATTTTTGTTCACAGATAAAATGATTGTGCAGACTCACCATAAAAACCCATGCCACAAAGAAACAACTCTTAGAACAACTGTTTGTCCGGCACAGCTCAAGGGAAAACCAGTATGTTATGATACTATCAAGCCAATGGCG